GCGCTTTCGCCTGCAGTGTGAACGTAGCCTTATTTGAGCAAGTTCAGCTTTGCCTCTTAGAGCGAAACCGTGTAGGTAGGTTAGGGCGGTATGGGCGGGGTTTTACTGCTTATTAGCCACATGCTAACACAAACGCTGTTCCAGAAACAGAAGATGTCAGAAGATCTTTCAAATAAAGTCTCATTACAGTAGAAAAGGGGAACATAACTATAACCTGGAAGACGTCGCTACCAACCGCCAAGATACCGAGAGGCTAACACGCCAAGTTTAAACTTGCAGTTTTAGCAGTTTGAGTCGTGCCTAAATCTTTCAGCATCAACAGCAGCAGGGTTTCTAGGTGCTTTACCTTCACTGCAGAAGCGGCCCTTGTATTCTGTTTTGGAGCAGTCACAAACCGGTTCTCCGTCCACCACTGTGCACATCCCACCGTTCTCACACGGGTTCACGGTGCACCATCCTTCCGACTCCAGCGGCACGTTAAGGCTTCCTAGGAACAGGGGCTGTGAGATGCCATATTTGAGGTCTGCGATTGTGCCACTGAAGGGCTGCATGTTTCGCACTGTAGGCAGTGTAAGTGCACCGCTGCGGATATCCTGAGGCACTCCACCTAGGAACAGGTCGCTGACTATTTTCATGAACTGACGCTGAGGCTTTACCTCGCCTGCTTTGGCTTGGCCGTCCAGCACCAGCACTGTGCGCAGGTTGTACCTGCTCAGGGTGGCAAAGTGCCAGCTGCTGTCATCTACCCGTCTGTCTGACACAACAGTGGTCTCAGCACAGTCGATGCTGAAGCGCAGCTGCAGTAGTCCCTCCGCCACTGAGAGCTGTAGAAAGTCACAGTAACCTCCATCGTCAAAGTACAGCAACAGTGCGTCTGAGGCCTCTGTCTTAAACTGGAAGCTGAGGTCACCGCGGGTGCTGGCGTCCCAGCGGAGGTAGCGTGCCCACTGACCTGGTGTACCTAAAAATTCCAGTCCCAGGCATGTGCTGAGGAACACATGCAGCCTGATAGAAAAACCTACAAGATCCATAGCTGTAAATAATTTCTTAATCCAAAAAGATGTCTGACGAGAATTCGGTTCGATTCAAATCTCAGGGACTGGACTCAGTTTCAGGGTTGCACAGTTCAATCTTCAATATAGATATATTTGGATAAACATTTATCATAAAAAAATATGTCTTTAAAAGAGGGAAAGGGCAATAGCAGGAGAACAGTCGTTGTAGTTAACAGTCGTAAGGTAAATCGCAATAAATTGTCCAGGTGTTGCAGGGCAGTGATTGTTGTTGCAGAGCAAGCTGACAGAAGGAGGAGACGTCGCCCTGCTCTTCAGACCAAGATGGAGACTTGTGGTGCGAGGTCATGTGAGTGGAATTTCCTCCTTCATTTTGTCTGCTGGGATGTGGAGCTGGCAGAGGAGCCGCTGGCCTTTTGCAGTTACATCCCTGTCACAAAACAGAAGGCACATGGTCACAATGAGTCTGCAGCACACATCCTGACCACCGCAGCTCTGTGCTCCACACTGCTCACATGGATGCAGGAGACTCTCACACCAACTCACACAAAGTGGAGCACTACAATGCATCTGTGCACACAGCAGGAAAACACTTGTTGTAAAAATGCAGTTTTGTTTATTAGAATTTCATCTTTATTTCATATTCAGAGATGTGCAGAGATAATCAGAGGAAAACCAGGTTACACACTCAGCTGTGAATGGTCCACTAAAATACATCCAACCTTTTCTCTGCACGCTGCAGAAAACCATCCTGAATAACAGTGCCTGTGAAATCACTGCATTTTTCCCTCCTCCACAAAGGTTGTTGGGAGTTATCGGTCATCTGCTAGGGAAATTAGTCTCATTATTCTCATGGCAGTGCATGACTATCAGTCAGCCAGGCGCACTGCCTTTATCTGATGACCAGCCTGGAGAGACAGCGTTCAGCTTCAGCTTCAGCTGAATAAAAAGAAGCACAGAAAAAACACAAGCAGGCACTGATCCACTAGCTAAATACTATTTTATTTAATAAAATCTCAGTTTATATGTTTTTAATACAGACAAATTGTACACTTTTATATTCCTAAAAATTATATTTATGCTTTCTGTATGAACTGTCAAGTCCTTCCACAGTACTATCCAAAACTCTTGAGACACCTCTCGTTGCTTTACTTATTTCTTGATTTATTCACGTCCAAGGACAAAGAACAACGAGCTTACAGTGAGCCTGAGGTTCAATAGTTTTCTGAAGTTTGTCTTTGGACCAGCATAGCTGCTTTTCACTCGTTTTCAATCCGGTCCTTGTCGCTGACATTTTCAGAGACACAACACAAAGATAAGCATCAAATGGTCTTTTTGCACCAATAACTTGACATATCTCAGAACACATCTGACCTTTAAGATTTGAAGGAAACTGGACACCTGGAGGACGAAAGAGGAAGTGTCAGGCCTAAAAAACTACACAAAGCAGATAATATCTGAAAACCATGTCTTTAAGAAACAGCGAAACATTTAAAGACACGGAGGCTAAGACTTGCTCCTGGACCCTCAGTTCATCCGCCGTTAGAAAGGTCTCACAGTGGCTGTCATGGAGCCGATCTTAAGGAAGAAAAAAAGTGATCTATGCCAAATTACACAAGCACTCGTCTACAAACATCTGTGGCAACTGGACTCACAGTATGATGAACACAAGTATTGAAATTTGTAGGTGAAACTGTCAGAAAAGCAGCACAAAAGTGAGTGTGTACAGCAATGTGTAAGGCTGTTGTGGTTCGGGGCTTCATTTCAGCCAGTGCTGCGGAGGAAGAGTTCAAAATTGGTGGAATTATATTTTCTATACCACACTGCTAAAAATAACAAATAATAAAGAACACTTGGGGGAAAAACTGGCTGATATGGACTGGGTAGGAACTAAAAGATGCCACATCAGGGCAGGGATGGAAATGAAAAGTGGAAAAGAAATACAGTAGGCTAGTCTGAAACTTCAATGCAGCAACTCAAAATAGTTCCCAGTCATTTGTATGGTCCTCATGTGCTTTTATGCATGCCTGACAACATGAGCAGGATGGTGTCCTGGGGAACTCCTCCCAGATCTGGACCAGGGCCAGATGGACGAAACATAATGAACCAGAGATGTTCTTTTGGATTTAGGTGGGTCGGGTTCAGGCAATGGTCTCGAGTCCTTGATCCTCTAGGAAGTCCACATGAGACCAGTCACTGCATAAAGAAGAACCCCGACATGTGTCAGGTCTGACGATCTGTCTACCATCACGATACCTATCAGGAGCCTCTGTGTAAGCTGAAGAGGTCTGAGCGTCCCTCTATGGTTATATCGCTCAGACCATCACATGACCACCAAACTGGTCGTGCTAAACAAAGTTACAGGACGCACGACCTTCTTTCTCCGTGTCTGTCACATGTGCTTAAGGTGAACCTGCGGTAGACCTGCTGATTCTGATATATGTGGCACATCCCAGTCGTGTTCCACAATGTGGGGCAGTGATCACGAGCCCCTCTGGAGGACGGAGGGTCAACCTCAAGTCTGTTTCTGATTGTTTGGTCCGAGACCGTCACACCTGTGGCCTGAGGTCATTTTGTAGGGCTCTACCGATCTTAATCCTGTTGTAAGAGGCCCCCCCCCTGTAAAACCATTCTTGTTTTGTGGCTGTCTCTTTGTTGCTCCTCTGTTGTGTCATTAACACCAAGTCACAGCCTTATTCCAAAGTGGGTTCAGTTTGTTTTCACCTCATAATTCTTAGCATTATAGCCCTTAATGAGAAGATGAAAAAGCAGCTTCAATTCCTGCAAATGTATTAAAAATAAAGAACAAAAATGTAACACGTACACAAGTATTCACAGCTTTTGCTAAATATTATGTTGAACCAGCTCTGACAGCAATTCCAGCCGTCATGAGTGTGATGCTAGAAGCTCGGCACGCCTGTCTTTGGGAAGTTTCTCCCACGCATCTTTGCAGAACCTCGATTGCTCCACCAGGTTGCATAGTGAGCATCGCTGCACAGCCATTTTCATATCTCTGCAGAGATGTTCAATCAGGTTCAAGTCTGGGCTCTGGTCTTGCATCTTAAGGACATTAACAGAGTGGTTAACATTAAGGATGTCTCTGTAAATTCCTGCATTCATCTTTCTCTTGACCCTGACTAGTCTCATCCTGCTGGGCCTAAAACTGCTCACCTGGGTTTTTTGAGGAGGTTTCACCCTGGTAGAGAAATAGCAATAGTCGGATAGAGAATTTTGTTTCTCGTGGTCTGGGAGTCGATTTCAAGACCTGCTTCTTACTTTCATCCTCCACTTCCAGTTCTGCGTGTGAGGACAGAGACTGAATATTTATGTACATGCATTTTTATTCCTTTTAATTTTTAATACATTTGCAAGAATTTCATTCAAACATTTGTCACTTTGTCATTATGGGTCATTGTGTGTAGAATTTAAGGTGAAAATGAATTGAATCCATTTGGGACTTTCTGGATGCGCTGTGACTGATCGGATCAAGATCACAGAGGTTTAGTTGACTTGCTGCTACACTCTGAATAAACA